TCTCACTTCTTTTCAAAATCTCACATCAACACCCCACGTACCCCCACACATAACCAAACATAGATAAAAATTCTCAAAATCCATATATATAAACTCAAGATACTCAATATGCCAAAACCGAAATATATATTGCAAATGCTTTATAAAAACATTAAGTTCAACAATTGAATGTATAATATATTCAATAAACCATTAAAACAATGTGCTTAATCTTTTCATCATAAAATCATGCTTATTGTTTGAAAACAAATTCCACTCACAAGTAATCACACGCTACTTGACCCTGAGAGGGTCCCGCCTACTGCGTGTGAGTAGCCGGAGTACCTATTTCAGAATACGGGTACAAAAATTAATATAAAACGCTTCAAACAAGAACTTTAAATTAAAATCCTAGTTTCCCCGGTTTCAAGTAAGTGTACAAGAAACGAGGCGTTCCTAAAGTCCAATTACGTGTTTCGGATGATGGGATAGCCTCGGAAGACGCTCGGTCAACCGGACGGTCAAACTTTCCAAATTGGTCAACCGGGCCCACGACCTCCCTTTTACGATCTGAAAGTTCTAATGAGTTCCACAAGGTTTACTAAGCATGTCTAGCAAGTTTGGTCCGAATCAAACGGTCAGATCGTTCACGATCGTACAATCGGATAGTTATCGTTTAAAACAAACTTTAAGTTATTGAATCGGAACATCAAGGACACCAATTCACGATCCGCGAAATCCTACACAATCCTATGGATGTCTAGATCAACATATATTGGAATGAAGTCGATCCAACGGTCCGAACACATCGAACCAGATAACGCCTAATATGCGATATCCGATCGACGATCAAATGATAACCAAATTCAAATCCGAGCATACCGTCGTGCTCGGGATGACATGGAGATCATTTTTGAACAAAGAGACCGGCCACAAAGTGGCCCACACGCCGTGCCACGCGCTGGCAGTGCTTGGGTGCCCAAAGAAATTTTTGGCGATCTAAAAAGCTCCAAAGCACCGGTGTAGACCTATACCTACATGATTAGGACATTGAGTGGAGCAACTGTTGTTCTTGGACCAACCCCAAAAAGTAATCGGAAGTTGCCGGAATTGAGGGCCGAAACCGGCCAATATTTTATCGCTTAATTGACAGCCAAAACGCAGAAATTAATCCTAAATAACCCAACCAGCAGCTAGAACACATCGAGAGGATGAAAAAGCATACCAAGTTTGAAGATTTTTGGTTGCCGGAATCACCCGAATGAGCGTCGGAAATTAACCAAAAATCCGACTTTTTTTTACGTTTTCCGGCGACACGAGCGGCAAATCGGGGCTGAGGAGGGGTGGGGCAGGAAGAGGGAGAGGAGGCGGTCAATTTTGTAAGATTCCACATCGACCAATGGAGAGAGGGTGATGTGCATTATATGTACATACCTGCCTCCATTTAGCACGAGGCCTTTTGAGAGCTCACTGGCTTCGGAGTCATCGGAACTCCGAAGTTAAGCGAGTTGGGGCTAAAGCAATCCCAGGATGGATAACCCACTGGGAAGTTGCTCGTGAGCTCCTAGAAATAAAACTGTGCGGGCAGAGACGGAGGGCCCAAAGCGGACATTATCGTGCTACGGCGGAGCTGGTCCCGGGATGTGACAAATTTGGGTCCGATCCCGTGGCCTGTGGTGGCGGCGGTGAGCCACCGGCTGTTTTCAAAAAATCAGGGGGGGAAGGGTTGTTGCGCGAGAGAGAGGGAGAGAATCAGGTTTTGAAAACCAACTTTGAAAATATTACGGTTATGCCACTGAGCTTGTTTTGATCGTAACTTTTTCGTTACAACTCCGATTCGAGCCCACTACGTGTCTATGGACTCATGTCGGTACGACCTACGTAATAGCACTAGTTACTTCCCCAAAATCTTTTTGAATTAAAAAGTTACCAAATTACCCCTACCCTCGGGGGCAAAATTGTAATCTCACTTTTAAATTAATTAAATAATTGAAGTGGATAATTAAATTAGGGTCGGGGTGTTACATTAGGTCACAAAGGAGATGGTGGATGGAAGGCAGTTACTTACAATACTACTGCAAATATATTAGCTGCACAATTTAATCTCTAGATAAGTGATGATAATATTAGATATCGTGTTAAGTCATGGAAAAAATTCTATGGAGTAGTGATATATTAAGTTAAAGTAGATTCAGTTAGGATTCAACAAAAAAGATGATAAGTGTAGATGAAGATCATGTTTGGGAAGAATACGTGAAGGTAAATATATTAAAAGTTAATTTTTTTTTTAATCATGTGTGTTTTTTTTCCTTTCTGTTGTTAAAAAGTACTTATAAGATTCTTATTTGACTTTGATTATTTGTTTGGTAGTCTCATGACGATGCTAGAGGTTTTCGATTTAAAGTTATAGAAAATTGTGATGATATAGTAGATTTGTGTAGCAAAGATAGAGCCACTAGAGAGGGTGCTGAAACAAATGTAGATGCAAGTGAGGTTATGACTCCTACTAATGAAGTTGATCATGATGATTTGGGTGGTGATTCACAAGATTTAGAAGATATTCATGTTATTGATGATATTTCACCAACCTTAACAAATGGTCAAAAGAGAAGAAATTGTGCATCAACTTCTTCTGATATTCTTCCTACAAAGAAAAGAGGTGCTGTCAAAAATGTTATTGCTGATTCGATTGCTAGAATGGCTTTATCATTTGAAGAGTTTATCCATGCTGATACTAATAACCTTGATCCAGCATAGGTATATGCTGAAGTACAAGCAGTACCAGGTCTTAATGAAAATGAACAACTCAAAGCATGTGCTTGGCTGATAGAAAATGATAAACAATTTCAGATGCTAAAGGCACTCCCAATTGAGAAAAAAAAGAGTATGCTATTGATATTTATTGCATGTGGGGAGTGATTTAGGTTGCTAATATGCTCTATTTGTTTAAGTTGAGTTACTTAGTTCATCAAACGATATATATGTTATTTTATACTTCGAGGAATAACCTTCTATGTCGGTTATCAGTTTGTTCTTTCGAAATATTTAATTTCCGTCATTTATAATCTATATGAGTTATCCAAGGTGGTTGGTGTGAGTGGTTCGGCACTCTCATTCCTTAAGAGAGGTCAGGGGTTCGATCCCTGCTCTCGTACGGAGTCACCACTTTGGCCAACACTTTACCCCTTACGGGCCGACCCGGTGTGAGTGGGGATTAGTCTGGGTTGTGGTTAAGGCTTAAAGGTGCCACCCATAGTTGGGGCCCATCCAGGACCACCTCATGGTTTAGACCAAAAAAAAAAAAACATTGAAATTTTCAATTTCTGTCATTTACAAAATTCGACATACATAAATCCAAACACTGAAATCTTCAATTGCTTAGAAATTGAAATGACCCTCCGTTTGGATGAGGGAAAATAACGCTGAATTTAGCTAAAAGTCGGGAATTTAAGATGAGAAATTGACAATTCCCTTGTTTGGCAATTTAAGCGTGGAATTTATTAAATGATGCGCGGAAAAAATCATGGAAATTGAGGCATCAAATTCCCGAGTTTAATTTCCACCAAAATAGGCGTCATTTGACAATTTCCACAGTGCGGGAATTCATATTTTCCGTTGTGCCAAAATTTAAATAATAAAAAAAAAAAATTTTATTTGAAAGGGTAAAAGTATAATTTCATATCCAGCTGTAATTAATTTTTAACTTTTAAAAATAAAATAGACATGTGGCAGATTTTGAATGGGAGTATCACCAGCTGACGTGGTGATACCGTACTATTCTATAATTTCTCCAAGTTTGGAGGCCTTGTCGCTCTATAAAACCTATGAAACCCTGAACAACAGATTGCCTTGTCGCTTTATAAAAAAAAGCTGCGAGCCAGAGAAGTAAGAAGCATCATAAAAAAACTGTGAGCCAGAGAAGTAAGGAGAAGGAGTTCTTCTTGGGTTACACGTCTCTCTGGATCAAGTTTGAAGGTTAGTCTTCAAGCATTTCTCTCCTTCAATTTATATTTTTCTATTTTAGGGTTACCATGGTTTCTGAATGGCTATCAAAATTGGGTGTTTCTGACTAAATTTATGAATGTGTTGAATGGGTTTTGTGATCTTTGTGTTTACTGATGCCTAAAGTCACTGTTGTCATAGTCTTAAGTTTTAATACTAGTGTTAAATTAGATTGATATTCTTTCCTCTTTTTTTTTTTTCAATACAAGCTAGCTCTTTATATCTAATTTGCTTTTTAAAATTTCTTATTGTAGATAAGTACTATCTTGTGGATGCGGGTTATACTAATGGACCGGGGTTTTTAGCACCGTATAGAGGAACTAGATATCACTTGAGTGAATGGAGTGGGAATAATCAACTTGAAAATTACAAAGAGTTATTTAATCTACGTCATTCAATTGCAAGGAATGTAGTTGAAAGAGGATTTGGACTATTGAAGAAACGATGGAGTATATTACGTACACCTTCATTTTTCAACATCAAAATGCAAGTTAGAATCATAAATGCATGCTTTGTATTGCATAACTTCATTCGAACCAAGCAAGCTAATGATCCTGTTTTAGAAGTTCAAGATTTGGAATTTTTAGCTTCTGTGGATCATGACATATCAAATCATTCGACATTGGAGGGAAATAATGCTCATGATAGGATTGCAAGTGTTCAAGTATGGATGGAAGGCAGTTGCTTGCAATACTGCTGCAAATATATTAGCTGCACAATTTAATCTCCAGATAAGTGCTGATAATATTAGAAATCGTGTTAAGTCATGGAAAAATTTCTATGGAGTAGTGAGTGATATATTAAGTCAAAGTGGATTCAGTTGGGATTCAACAAAAAAGATGATAAGCATAGATGAAGTAGAATGATCATTAATTCTTATGTTATTTGTTTGTATGAGTACTTGACTATTCTATCACATGTTGTCATGCTTACTGATGTCCAATGTCGGGATTCTCTACCTAATTTCCTTTCTAATTGTATTTTAAACGTGCAAAAGTGAACAAGCAGGGGCTAAAATCATGAATGGATTTGGAGGAAAAGAGGCTTGCAAGGGAAAGTCAAGGAAAAGGAAAGACAAACAAGGAGTTGAGCCTGAAGGAGAAGACAAAAACTATTTTCGGTGGAATATAGCTATGGAACGTGAATTAGCTGATATACTTCGGGAGGAGCGCAGCTTAGGTCACAAAGGAGATGGTGGATGGAAGGCAGTTGCTTACAATACTGCTGCAAATATATTAGCTGCACAATTTAATCTCCAGATAAGTGCTGATAATATTAGAAATCGTGTTAAGTCATGGAAAAAGTTCTATGGAGTAGTGAGTGATATATTAAGTCAAAGTGGATTCAGTTGGGATTCAACAAAAAAGATGATAAGCATAGATGAAGATCATGTTTGGGAAGAATACGTGAAGGTAAACATATTAATTAAAAGTTTTTTTTATTTTTATCATGTGCTCTGTTTTTTTCTGTTGTTAAAGAGTACTTATAAGATTCTTATTTGACTTTGATTATTTGTTTGGTAGTCTCATGACGATGCTAGAGGTTTTCGATTTAAAGTTATAGAAAATTGGGATGATATAGTAGATTTGTGTGGCAAAGATAGAGCCACTGGAGAGGGCGCTGAAACAGGTGCAGATGCAACTGAGGTTATGACTCCTACTGATGAAGTTGATCATGTTGATTTGGATGGTGATACACAAGATTTAGAAGATATTCATGTTATTGATGATATTTCACCAACCTCAACAAATGGTCAAAAGAGAAGAAATCGTGCATCAAATTCTTTTGATATTCTTCCTACAAAGAAAAGAGGTGCTGTCAAAGATGTTATTGCTGATTCGATTGCTAGAATGGCTTTATCATTTGAAGAGTTTATCCGTGCTCCCAATTGAGAAAAAAAAGAGTATGTTGCTGATGTTTATTGCACGTGGGGAGTGATTTGGTTTGCTAATATATTCTATTTGTTTAAGTTGAGTTATTTAGTTCATCAAACGATATGTTATTTTATACTTCGAGGAATACCTTCTATGTCGGTTATCAGTTTTTTTTTTCTTTCGAAATATTTAATTTCTATCATTTATAATTTACATGAGATATCCAAACATTGAAATTTTCAATTTCTGTCATTTACGAAATCCGACATGCATAAATCCAAACACTGAAATCTTCAATTGCTAGAAATTGAAATGACGGAATCTAATTTCCGTCATTTTAGAATTCTATGTAATTAGCAATTCCTTCATCCAAACGGATGCTGAGGGAAACCTAAATTCTGTCATTTTAGAAGAGTGGTAATTTCCCCACTCCAATTTTATCCACTTACACTCCATTTTATAACTAAAAAACGAGTGTAAGTGGATAAAATTGGAGTGGGGAAATCATTACCCTTTTAGAATTCAATGTAATTTGCAATTCCTTCATCCAAACAGAGCGCCGGAAATTAAACTCAGGAATTTGATGCTCCAATTTCCACGATTTTTTCCATGCGTCATTTAATAAATTCCGCGCTTAATAACTTGCCAAACAAGGGAATTGCCAATTTCTCCCCTTAAATTTTCGACTTTTAGCTAAATTCCGAGTTGTTTTCCCTCATCCAAACGAAGGATAAGATTTTATTTATCTCAATTTTGTAGAATTATTTATATTATATGAACAGAACATTGAACTTTATGCTGTGAAAAGAACAAGACGATTGGTACTTTGGTTTCTCGGGCAGAAGGAAAACAAAGAAGAAAAAGGAAGAAGAGGAAGAAGAAAGAAGAATCCAACCCAACCTAACCTTCTTCACGAAGGAACACTGCGCGCAGCACCAACCACCAGGTCCAAGAACTCCAGCTTTCTTCTTCTTCTCTGCTGCTCGACAAGATACTTTTTTATTTTTAATTAACGGGTGAAATGGTCGTGTCATGTAATTCGCGAATTTTAATGGGTCGTGTTCATGTTTGATATTTTTCACCTCTTAACTAAACAGGTCATGTCGTTTCAACCCGCTTTGCTTAATGCGTTAACAAGAACACGACCCATTTGCAAAGAAGACTATTATAGTTTATTTTAAGAAGAATAATAAAGATGAAAGTAAAGAATCCATAACAGCATTAGACAATTTTACACATCACAATCCATAACAGCAAATCACTCATTAATTTCTCAATTCCAATTCCAATATGTGATTTGCTCAGTAAAAAGGAAACATAATAAAATAGGCCGGCGACAGAATTGCCACTCTATGCAGCAATCATGGGTCCCCTCCCTATGACCCTCGGGTGCTAACTGATGTCGATGATGTTCCTGTTCAAATGGAGTCGAAGATGACAGACTGATGAATGTCGTAAATGAGTCTGTCAAGCTTGTGATGGAACAGGTAGGTTATAATTTCTACAAGTTTCCAATTGAAAGAACTACTGCAAGTACTAATCTTAGGGAAAAAGGAAAATTCAATTTTAGAAGATTTCTGTGGAAAAACTATTACAATTCTGCTGTTCTGTTTCCAAACCTCTCCTTGTTCTGTTGGTAGAATAAGTTGTTGCAACTTTATTTGGGTGTTACTTTCTCCAAATCTCGACTCTCATACATCGTCGGATTTGAGGGGGAGTGACACCGCTGCTCATCTATTCTGCTGCAATTTAACCACCTATCTGTCATGGCTAATTCTGCTACATCTCAGTGTTCGTCAGTGCATGTTTCTCAAGTACCATTGATCATATGGCTCCATCGACCCCTTCTCTTCAAGGGGAGAGGGGGAGTGAAGAGAAGTTGTCTCTGCTGTTGTTGGTGCCAATGCCTTGTATTGCTGTTGATGATGCATGTTATGTCTCTGCCTTGTTGCTCTTGTTGGTGCCAGTATTGTTGCTCTTGTTGGTGCCAGTATTTTTGCTCCTGCCTGTTATGGTGCCAGTATTGTTGCTCATGCCTTTGCTGGTGTGTTTCCGCTGTGGTCATGCCCGTTGACCTTGCCTTTGCTCTTGACTTTCTTTGCCTTGCCTTACCCTATTTGTTAGGGTTTGGCTTTGCCTTGCCATGCCTTGCCTTACCCTATTTTTAGGGTAAGGCTTTACCTTTGTCGTGCCTTACCCTATGGGGGCACTGTTAAATAATTTGGTACACTTATAGTAATGCCCAGTTGACTGAAAACTGGGGGAATTTCTCCTTTTTAATCGCTTATGATTATATATCACCAGTTTTGTACTTCTCTGTTTGGTAGAGATGAATATTATGCTCAGCTAGCTTGATAACTCTGAGACCACCTTTTGCCATTTGCCTAGGTTATTTTCTAAAGTTGAAGTTTTTAATCTGAATTCACCAAATCTTGATAGATCCCTGTTCTTTTTCATTGTTTCTAAATTGTTAGTGTAACATGATGTGCTTCAAAAGCTTACCCTGGACTGAGTTTGAGCAGCAATTAGTTCAACTACAATATGTTCATTGCGCATGACATGTAGTTATATCCCTTTTATAACCTTGAAAACTTTACCATTGTGACACAATTGCTTGCAATTTTTAAATATTTTGAAACTCATTGTTTTTTAGAAGTGTACGTTGAAGCTGAGCTGGTACAATTCATAATTCTTAGATGTGTAGTACCCTGCCTGCAGTATGATGCCATTTTAGTCAAATAATATGGGTAGAATATTTTCAGATATATTTCATTCTCCGAAAAGAGGTATTTATAATACAGGTTACAAACCTAATATGGTTTTAATTAGGAAATAAGTGGAATCCTAATTACATAATATCTACACAAAAGGAAAAATAAATAAAACCCAAATAGAATAGGACTCGCCAACACTCCCCCTTAAGTTGGAGTAAAGACGTCACGCATGCCCAACTTGTCAAGCGAGTTGAGAAAGATACTTGTAGAAACAGCTTTCGTAAGAACATCAGCTAACTGATACTCTGAACGGATGAAGGGGAAGGACACAATCTTCGCATCCAACTTTTCCTTAATGAAATTTCGATCAACCTCCACATGCTTTGTACGGTCATGTTGTACAGGATTATGAGCAATTGCAATCGGAGCCGTATTGTCACAATATAACTCCATGGGTTTATTAGGCCCAAAACCAAGGTCTTTCAACAATCTTCTCAACCATAGTAACTCAGATACACTATGGGCCATTCCCCGTTACTCGGCCTCAGCACTAGATCTAGACACCACCTTTTGTTTCTTGCTCCTCCACGTAACAAGATTGCCACCCACAAACATAAAATACCCAGATGTCGAACGCCTATCTGTGGCTGAACCTGCCCAATCAGCATC